TATTCAGCCCCGTCACAAAAATTTTTGTATTTAACTAATATAAAATTTAGCTAATTAACCTATATACCTTCCTACCTCCCAAATTCATCTCCCCCCATTTTACCTTTCCCATCTCCTCCACCAGGTCCGCCATCTTTACATTGAATAACAGCGGACTCAGTGAGCACCCCTGTCTTATCCCCCTTACCGTCCAAAGACTTTCTCCTAATTCCCCCACCCCTGTTCTCACTTTACTCTTTGTTTCTCTTAATAGCTCCCCCACCTTTTCTACCAGCCCTTCCCTTATCCCTCTCGGCCGTAGTGCCTCTATCAATAGTAGCCCCTATCCACCGAATCAAATGCCGCTTTCAAATCCACAAATAAAACTATCAGTTTTCCCCCTTTTTTCTTTACCTGCCTATTTATTAGAAATTCAACACACATATGTTATCCAACGTCTTCAACCCCTTTCTGAAACCCATTTCTCCATCTCCTCCCCCCCAATATTTCCATACCTTATTCGGAATCCCGTCTATCCCCATTGCCTTTCGGGGTGATCCCGATTGATCACGGCTCGATTGGACACCACCAATCACAGCGACCGGTGCTCAGGAGCTTTGTAGTCTCAAGAGCTGTGAGTGGCTCGTGGCCAATTTTAATATGGGATTATATTCAATCAAAATCTAATAACCCAAAATATTAGAATTGATTTTATACTTTTAAAATAAATATATTTAATAATAGTATTATATTTTATTTGGTCTTTTTCTGCTGTATTATTTTTGATGTATGTTTTGTATAGATATACTGTTAAAATATACTTTTAAAATTTTAATCTTTTTAGGTGTAAATTTAGGTTTAAACTAGTTTAATCGAAGATTGTGAACATGTTACCCACCGGAAATATCCGTGGCTACATAGTTCAACGTGCACACTTTATGCACATAGAGGCGCCAGTAAACGGCTTCCACTTGATACGCGGGCACTCTCAAGTTTCTCTCTGTTGACACTATCTAAATAGAACAAAATATGTGATTTAATCTAAAATAGTAAGATAATTTCTGTATTTTTAAAAATAATTTCTGAAACCTAAATAAAGATTGGCAATATGCTGCTGGTAACTTTTGATCGATTTTGTTGCGTACCCTTTTTCCTTTAGGAGGACAGCACTTTACTTTTATTTAATTACATTAAAAATAAAAAGTGTTTGAAAATATCTGCAATTATGTTCTTAAAAAATATCCAATGTCATGCAATTCTTGTTTCTATTTGATCTAAATTATTTATATATAAATTATTTTAATTTTTGTTTCGCAATTTTTTCATGATATTTTTTCACATTTATGTTATATAATTTGCAAAATATCCCGTATACAAATATTTTAATAGTTAATTTATTATACATATATGTTATATATATTATATATGTATACATATATATACATACACACACATATATATAATATATATGTATATTAAATACTTTTGTCAAAAGAGATTTAATTAAGATTTTGAATTAAATAGGAAAAGTTGAATTTATAAAAAAATTTGAATGTGTTGTATCGTTGAAAAAATTTAAATTTCACGATTCGTGCGAACGCGTTTACTAATATGCGTGTCCATCTTGAAATTAATACCATCCAATATGCGAAATGCATCATATTTTTCATACGTTCCAGTTCATAGAGACGTGAATAATTGCCGGTATGATTTGCGAGGCACGTACATCATAGCTAGTGAATTTTGGTGTGGTCAGTTTATTTTTAGTGCAACTGACAGTTGGTTTCCGCGAGATATAAAAATATCGAACTGACTGTACGAATGAAGAAACGTTTTCCCTAGCGAGTGACAAATAAACGGTACATATGACAATATTTCGTTATGTAATGTTGTTATATATCCCGATATATTACACGTGTATCGACGATTGTTTTTCTGGATTGAGATTTTTGTTGTACGTGTTCGCTTGGATTATCATGGTAAAGATGAGAGCGTCTACCAACGGAGATCGCAGATCGCTTTCAGGATGGATGATCTGTTCACGGTACATTTAAGTAACGCTTTATACAAGTCGGCTTTATGAGGGCTCAGACCTTCGTTGCGTGCACCGCATATAAAGACCTTCTGGTATATATTCTACGCGTTGAATTCTCAATGTAACGACGAGATTTTATGGACAATTTTATTTGTTCCCTATACACGAATAAATGTGTATCCATGAATAAACTCCGTCATAACCATGCTTATTCGAGTGAGTAAAAACGATACAGTATCTTTCCACGCGCATAGAGAAAATGTTTAACATTTATACTTTTATATTGATATGGATGAAATGCTCTCAATTATTGTCATAAAATAAAACGCGAAAAAGCTAATTCGAAAATTTTGAGTGTTACTTACGCAGATACCGTTGTCGGAACTAAAGGGGTATCAGGAAACATTTTATCCCAGGCTCCGGAAAATCTACCGGTTAAGCAGTGTACGCAATTTAAAGTCACTACTTCTGTCCGTCCCGAGGGAATTAAGGGTCAGACGTGGAGGCAAGTATATCGCCAGGAAGTCGGGTTCTCCGCAGCTTTTTTCCTCTTCTATCCTGGTAATAAATTTTCAAGTCGTCCAGCAACGTCCTGGAACTCAGGAACGATGTTATAGACGGTGCTCGAGAACAAGAAGGGTGGTTACTCAGGGTACGCTCACAACCCTCCGCACATACTAACGTGGATTTACCGAGGCCCATCCTCCACGTAACGACGAGTGACTGCGGAAGAGTCTATATACACGGTTCTGGGGTGGAAAGTTATGGGTGGTCTCGTTGCTGTATCAATATCTCGTTAGGGGCTACGACGGAAATAAAACTGGAATGTTCGTCTTTCTCGGGGCTGACCGAGCTAGCAAAATTGTAATGCAACCTGCAGGCGCCATTGCGCCAGTCGCTCGTTACATGTTACAACTTTGAATGTAGGAATAGTAGCATAGTATAGGAATTGAATTATTGTGTCATGTTTTATGAAAACTGCAATCGATCATTGCTATACACAGAAACGTTACCATGTATTTGAAAATCGGCTTACTGTACCAATATCAACTAACTGGGAAATGACGGAAGCGTTAAATAGGATCTCTAATACGTGCATGTATTTGCTAGTTATCCATTGATATTTACGTTCTGTCTCTCATTAGAGGGAAAGATGGATGATTTCAAGTGCGTATAACGAGCAGCGTTTCGCGGTCCTATAATTGCTTCGAAATTTCATCAAATTTTATATGAAAACGTATGAAAAACAGATTTTCAAGAGAAAATATATAGGTATATATATCCTATTTCTAATTATACCAATTATTACATTTATCTAGAATATATTGATATTATATTGCGATTAATCCTGATACATATGCTAGTATAGAGGTTTCGCGGATTACTGCAAGTAGTTATTGCATTCAATAACCAGTGAATGGTCATGATCGATACTTAGTTATTCAAATAGCTTTGTCAATACTTTGCGGTGTAAAATTGTTATTTAGTTGATGCTGCAACAATACTATTGTATTTGCTGCTACACTTGTATTTGCTACAGTTGAAAGTTCTGTAGAAATTATATACAAAAGGAAAATAACATTTTAAGAATTATATAAATAAATAATATATCCCCTACATATTCAAAGATATTTGCGTTATTTATGTGTGTGTGTGTTTTTTTTTTTTTTTTTTTTTTTTTTAGTAAGTATTCACTCTCACATGTGGTTTTATTTTTATTAATACGGTAGGCCATATTTCAACGCAATTGTCAAGACCGAGATGTTTCCTTTATATTTACAACATAAGGGCGCGAACGAAGGTAATTCTTGCTTCCGCCGCAATGATCAATAAACCATCCCGTCCACACTGCTGAACGACGCTTTATACTTCGATGGATGTAACGCCAGGGAAAGAGGCGGCAACTAGTGGTCGTAAGTACTTACGTACGTGTAGGTTCCGCCGCGTATATACGCAGTGAGCTGCCAACGATATAGCCAGCGAGACGAAAACACTCGTCTGCAAAGTCTAGTACTGGCGTAAATATACCGAATGGTAAGAGACGTAGCAGCAGTTACCCAAAAGCCATCGCTACCGGTCGCTTATGGAAACACGGCTCCGTAAATATTTTCGAGCACTCTGGTCTTTTTGGCGTGCCATTACAATCGAATGGCATTCTATATTCTTAAAAATGCCTTCTATCTATTAAAGTAATGAGTAAAGTGTGTTATATGTATATCCGTGTTATAGTATAAATAATAAGTGGGTCCGAATTAAGACTTCCATATTACTAGAATAACTAGCAATAATGTATTTATAAATTACAGTTATACGTATAACGATTGCACTGTAATAGTCTATTCGTGCAACGATTTCAGTCATACTCGTCATTTAGCAAATAGCGCGTATTTCTGAATATATATATATATATATACACACATATATATATATATATATATATATATATATATATATTGGATGTAATAGCAGAATAAATTTTAAAATAAAGGATTTAAGGATTTTCGTTTTACATTTTTGACCAAATAACGTAATAACCGTGAAAGCATTTTTTTTTCCAAAATAGTGCCTCGGGCAGTTTTTTGATTATTTTTCCGATATAGAGCTACATTTCCGTGCTACATTTCGCTGTAGTGATAAAATTGCTGAAGGTATAACGCGTAATCTATTATTATGAGCCGGGAAGAGAGAGGAGGCAACTGGTGGCCGTACGTACTTACGTTCGTTCTCGCGTGTTCTCTACGCGCATCGCGCGCATATACGCGTCGCGGCCACGGCAAGTTACCAGTGATATAGTTTGCAGCTGAAACAACCGTTTCTACTGTCTAGCAGTTGGCGTTTAGCCAATCCCTGGTGCCGATGCGCCTCTCTTCACCCGTTATACGAGGATTAGAGTATACTGCGCTACCGCTCCTGTGTAATTTTCTCTTCTCTCTCTCTCTCTCTCTCTCTCTCTCTCTCTCCTTTCTCATTCGCTTATTCCATCTCTCTCTTTCTCCTTTTATTCCCTCAACATCTCGTGTATTCTACTCTTTATTGTCCGACTGGACCCCGCGTGCGGACGTGCCTCGGCTCTGCATTTGCATCCCGTTAAATGTCGTAAACTTGTCAAAGCGCGGGCC